CAGTGCCTCACACATGCTAGGCAAGTGCTCTACGCCTGAGCCACAACCCCAGTCCCTAAAAATGTACCTTTGAAAAACAGCACAACCATTCACTAATGTATTGTCTATGACTGCTTTTTGCAGCAGTTGCAGAGTTAAGTAACTACTTAACATCAAAACCTAAACCATGCATACTTTCCAGCCTTTTATAGAAAAGTTTGTTAGCACTCTTATTTAGATGACTGTTGCACTTTTTCAGTTAATTTAAGCTGTTATCAAACTAAATTATGTAGGATATATAGGATTACATTTTTTTCCCTATTTTTTTTCCTTAGGGAAAACTCAGAGCTATTAAGGAAAGTTGATTGTCTCCAGTTATGACCTCTTGAGTACCGTAGGATTGTATTCTGTGTCCTCCTTAATGTATAGGTAAAGGCATCAAGGACTGTGAGAGCTTAGGTATGTTGATAATAGGTGAGCTAATTTTGGATCTGCTAGGGACTCAGTTTTTTTTTTTTTTTTAATAATACCAATGGTGTGGAGGTTTGGATGGATGACCACTTTAAAAACGTGCCTTTTTTATGTTTTCACATGATACAAAAATATGCTTAGGGAATAATAATAGACTTTATCATATAACCTGAATTTTAACTGTGTTTTGCAGCTAGAAAAGTATTGGGCAAAAAGTTAATTGGTAAAAGATTGAGTTTCCCCATTTGTGATAAAGAGTTGCAATGTAGATTAAGAGACATACTTATGATATCATTTATACAACAACAGGAATTTAATGTGTTAGTATTACCTGTGTTTGACTGTTCTTAGTAAACACTTCTTTCTAGCTGTCAGAAGTAGTGGGGTTTTCAAGAAACAGATGCTTCTGTTTGATTTTTCTCATCTCATTAATGAAAACAAAATGGCAAAAACAGTTTTTTTTTTTTTTTCTTAGTGTAAAACTGAGAAGGAAAGGGCAGTTGGGGCTTCAATATTGGCCAGTTTTAAATTCTTTTTTTTTAAAACATAAATCAGGATTCAAAATAATAACCAGTGAAATGACTTTAGGTGTACATAGTTTCCAGGTATACATGGTCATTCAAGTTGCTATTAGAGACCTCCCAAACCTAAGAAAGCCAGTGGTGGTGAAAACATGGAATGTTAAAGCATAGATGAGAGGAGAAGGGAAGTATATCACAGGACGAGACAGAGACAGAGGTAGATCAGATGTTGAGAGAGGAATCAAAAGAGCCTGGAGAAACCAGACTTCCTCTTTTATAACAACATGATCTCTTGGGAACTAATTCACTTCACTGAGGCCTGCATTAATCCCTTTCATGAGGGTAGCATCCCTGGCTGAATCACCTTCCCATCTCTTAAAGCTCATTTACTTGTTAATACGGTATCAAAAAGCAAGCTTTCAGCACATGAACCTTTGGGGGACAAATCATATGCAAACCACAGTAGTCTCAGGAGATTAAAAAAAGATAAACATCATGCATAGTATCTTTTCTGACCATAATGGAATAAAGTTAGAAATCAGTAACAGTAGGAAACCATAAGTAAACCTAGTAAGATTTTGTTTTTAATTTTC